GCAAAATAAATAAATTAATTAATACCTAACACCTTATTTATTTATTTCCTATATATATATATATATATATATATATATATCTTCCTATATAGTACAGGCCAAAAGTTTGGACACACCTTCTCATTCAATGCGTTTTCTTTATTTTCATGACTATTTACATTGTAGATTCTCACTGAAGGCATCAAAACTATGAATGAACACATATGGAATTATGTACTTAACAAAAAAGTGTGAAATAACTCTTAATTCTTAAATAGGTCTTATATTTTAGATTCCTCAAAGTAGCCACCCTTTGCTTTTTTGATAGCGCTGCAAACCCTTGGTGTTCTCTCAATGAGCTTCATCAGGTAGTCACCTGAAATGGTTTTCACTTCACAGGTGTGCCTTGTCAGGGTTAATTAGTGGAATTTCTTGCCTTATTAATGGGGTTGGGACCATCAGTTGTGTTGTGCAGAAGTCAGGTTGATACACAGCCGACAGCCCGATTGGGACAACTTGTTAGATCATTCATACTTATGGCAAGAACCAATCAGCTAATAAAGGAAAACAAGTGGCCGATCAATTACTTTAGAATAGAAGAGTCATTCAGTCCGGAAAATTGCGAAAACTTTGAATGTGTCCCCAAGTGCAGTCGCAAAAACCATCAAGCGCTACAACGAAACTGGCTCACATGAGGATCGCCCCAGGAAAGGAAGACCAAGAGTCACCTCTGCTGCTGAGGATAAATTCATCCGAGTCACAAGCCTCAGAAATTGCAAGTTAATAGCAGCTCAGATTAGAGACCAGATTAATGCCACACAGAGTTCTAGCAGCAGACACATCTCTAGAACAACTATTAAGAGGAGACTGCGTGAATCAGGCCTTCATGGTCAAATAGCTGCTAGGAAACCACTGCTAAGGAGAGGCAACAAGCAGAAGAGATTTGTTTGGGCCAAGAAACACAAGGAATGGACATTAGACCAGTGGAAATCTGTGCTTTGGTCTGATGAGTCCAAATTTGAGATCTTTGGTTCCAACCGCCGTGTCTTTGTGCGACGCAGAAAAGGTGAACGGATGGATTCTACATGCCTGGTTCCCACCGTGAAGCATGGAGGAGGAGGTGTGATGGTGTGGGGGTGCTTTGCTGGTGACACTGTTGGGGATTTATTCAAAATTGAAGGCATACTGAACCAGCATGGCTACCACAGCATCCTGCAGCAACATGCCATCCCATCCGGTTTGCATTTAGTTGGACCATCATTTATTTTTCAACAGGACAATGACCCCAAACACACTGCGCCAGATGACCTAGCCTCCACAGTCACCGGACCTGAACCCAATCGAGATGGTTTGGGGTGAGCTGGACCGCAGAGTGAAGGCAAAAGGGCCAACAAGTGCTAAGCATCTCTGGGAACTCCTTCAAGACAGTTGGAAAACCATTTCAGGTGACTACCTCTTGAAGCTCATCAAGAGAATGCCAAGAGTGTGCAAAGCAGTAATCAGAGCAAAGGGTGGCTACTTTGAAGAAACTAGAATATAAGACATGTTTTCAGTTATTTCACACTTTTTTGTTAAGTACATAATTCCATATGTGTTCATTCATAGTTTTGATGCCTTCAGTGAGAATCTACAATGTAAATAGTCATGAGAATAAAGGAAACGCATTGAATGAGAAAGTGTGTCCAAACTTTTGGCCTGTACTGTATATATATATATATATTTTTTTTTCTCTCTCTAGCTGTCAGTCAAAAAGCTGTCAGTTGTTCTCTGTAGTAGTGTATGCCATCACGTTACATTACGTTACATTATGTCTTATGTTATCACACAAGAACGTCTGTTTACAGAGAGGAACTGAATGAATTTAGTTTTCTCATTCACCACATAACTAAATGTTTCTAAATCACAGTGAATCTCATCAGAAACATGTCGCCAGCTCAACAACAACAACAACCACAGAAAGGAGACATGGCGTGACCTGTGGATTCATCGTGCACTGGTTTAATTACCTTCTCAAACAGGAAGTCAAAGTACCTGAGTTCAGTGAAGGGAGGTGATTCTCCTTGAGAGGAAGTCTAAAGAACGACAGATGAATGTCCTGAAGCCGATGCCTCCAAAGAACCTCTGAGGAATCAGAGACAGAAACCTGACATTGTCACTGTGAGCACATTTGCAGATGACACTGCTCTGTTTACCTGAGCTCCGCAGCAATGTTGTTTCACGAGAACATTTCATTATAACATATCTACAACAGCAAAATGTTCTTCAGGAACAAAGAACCTTCCTGACAGAATATCAGGCCCTAATGAAGAGGGCTCTGCTTCATTTGGCTCTGGAGAAAACACCTGCTCCAAACTAAGGATAAACCATCACAGTTCTGCTTCATACGACTCCCTGAGGCTCTAAAACTACTTGGTGGAGGTTAGAAAAAGGTTGGTGGTCAGCGTTGACTGTTGCTAGGAGACAGGACTCCAGCCTCAAGTGTCAAAGTCCAGAACCTTTAATGTCCAGCCCTCGACCTGGGCCGGAATCAGGACCGGTACAAGAGACACAAAGCTCGCTAGTGGAACACAGAGGAAGACCAGCTCCACAACAGCTTTACAGTGAACCTTATGTTGAGATTTTATTTGGTTGACTGTTTCCAGGGTGAAACGAAATATCTGTATTTTTTTATTTGGATTCAAACAGACAAATATGAAATAATGTAAATGTAGCAGTGGCGTACTTGAGCCTTTTACTCATGATGGTTACAGTAATATTAATCTCTATAAATAACATTAACCTTTATTTAAATATCATTGTCTATAAATGTATTTATTTATTTATTTAACTTTAAATCATATTTATATAAATATGTATAGTATATTTCTATTCATATAAATCATATGAATCTCTTTAATTAATATTTATTTGATTTTTAAATCATATAAATCTTTTTATTAGTTATATTAATATAACACTATTCATATGAATCATATACATGGAAGGTTAATACAAGCGGTGCACCAGCAGCTGTGAATGTGAAACACTGGTTCTGGGTTCTGCAGCGACTTTAAATAAAAGTGGTCTGAGTGTTTGTGCTCTCAGCAGCAGAGTCTGACCCTGACATGTTTCCTGTTCACTGGACGCCGCCGAAAACACAGGAGACCTTCCCATCATGCATTTCAGCAGGCAGAGGGAGAAAAAAGAGCCGCTGTAATATCACCACTTCTCTTTTCAAAAAGCTGCTGCAGTCACATCCATCCACTTATACCTCCACACCTCCATCACTCCATCCATCCATATTCCCTCCCCCTCCTCTCACAGCCTCAGAGAAGAGAGAGCGAGAGGGAAAAGGGGGGAGGAAGGAATGAGATTAATACTCAGGGGGAGGACGAAAGGAGAGGAGGAGGAGGGGTGAAGAGAGGAGGAGGGGGAGGTGAAAAGAGGAGAGAAGAGCGTATGATTCCTCATGGGAGAGAAGGGGGGAGGAGGGGAGGAGCAGCAGGGTGGAGGGAGAGTAAAATAAAAGACAAAAAGAGGAGGAGGAGGGGGAGGTGCAGCCTCACTTGGACCAGATCAGCCCAGTATCTCCAGGAATGATGTTGAGTCTTTGTGGTCTGACTCTGATCCGGACCTTCATTAGACTGTAGAGCTGAGACATGTCCCACATCCCTGATCATGTTTGGGCTGACACTCATCACACCAGCAAAGTCCCAGTCCCAGTCCCAGTCCCTTTCCATATCCCAGTCTCAGACTGAGACTGAGTCCCAGTCCCAGTCCAAGTCCCAGTCTCAGTCTCAGTCCCAGTCTCAGTCTCAGTCTCAGTCTCAGTCCCAGTCCCAGTCCCAGTCTCAGTCTCAGTCCAAGTCCCAGTCTCAGTCTCAGTCTCAGTCCCAGTCTCAGTCTCAGTCTCAGTCTCAGTCCCAGTCCCAGTCCCAGTCTCAGTCTCAGTCCCAGTCTCAGTCTCAGTCTCAGTCCCAGTCCAAGTCCCAGTCTCAGTCTCAGTCTCAGTCCCAGTCCCAGTCCCAGTCCCAGTCTCAGTCTCAGTCCAAGTCCCAGTCTCAGTCTCAGTCTCAGTCCCAGTCTCAGTCTCAGTCTCAGTCTCAGTCCCAGTCCCAGTCCCAGTCTCAGTCTCAGTCTCAGTCCCAGTCTCAGTCTCAGTCTCAGTCCCAGTCCAAGTCCCAGTCTCAGTCTCAGTCCCTGTCCATATCCCAGTCTCAGACTGAGACTGAGTCCCAGTCCCAGTCTCAGTCTCAGTCCTAGTCTCAGTCCCAGTCTCAGTTTCAGTCCAAGTCTCAGTCTCAGTCTCAGTCCCAGTCCTCTATGAAACACACTGGTCCCATTTAAACCCTCTGAAAATCAGTTTATGAACATTCCTCTTCTCTGTAATAAAACATGTCTGTGGATCACATTGTCCTCAAAGACAGAGACATTGTCCTCAAGTCTAAACCAGAAAAAGAGAGTCAGAGACAGAGTCAGTCTTTATAGACATTGTCCTACCTGTGGAAGCTTCTACATTGTCTTTAAGGTGTGACGGTCAAATAATGACGCTTTTTAATTTGAACGGAAGAGCATCAGTGATTATTCTTCCACACGCCTGACTCTCACACACCTGCACAACAAGCCTGGATTCAGAAGCAACAATCTTTTCTTGTTGTTTAAATAAATGTGAAGAGACATATCAGCTTTAACACTCTCTGTCTCTGTCACCACAAAAACACTCTGACATGTTGATTTGAAATATAAACACACAGATTTATACATCAGGTTTGAATTATAATAACACACTGACTGCATGTCTGTCACACACACACACACACACACACACACACACACACACACACACACACACACACACACACACACACACACAAACACACACACGCATAAACACACACACATTCAGGCCAGACAGGAGAAATATGTTGCTATTAAAAGAATGTGGGCGAGAGAGAGCGTGAAATACATTCAGGAGAGATCAACACACACTGCATGATAATACTTTGTGTATGTGTGTGTGTGTGTGTGTGTGTGTTTGTTACCTGTCGATGATGACGGGGTCTGATGGTGTCTCGTTTCTGTTTCCACAGCTCTTCTTATCACAGCAGCGACTAACACAGACAGAATAATGAAAAGTTAAACTGGTTCTTTATTTATTTCTCTTTAGTCACAAAACATTTAAATTTCATTGTTTTCTTGTTTTCAGGGTGAGAACCAGAACAGGTGGTACACAGGCCTAGTCAATTAGGTCCTGTATGGTCCTGTTGGACTGTTGCAGATATCAGGTGTGACAGCTTGTCTCACACCTGAAGGCAACTATCAGCTCTGATAACACAATGTGTCATCTATCGGGAGAGGTGACTTAAGTCTGTCTGGACCAGGTGTGACTGTATGTGGGTCTGTCAGGACCAGGTGTGACTGTCCTTGGGTCTATAAGGAACAGATGTGACTGTACTTGGGTCTGTGAGGACCAGGTGTGACTGTCCTTGGGTCTATAAGGAACAGATGTGACTGTACTTGGGTCTGTCAGGACCAGGTGTGACTGTCCTTGGGTCTGTCAGGACCACGTGTGACTGTCCTTGGGTCTGTAAGGACAAGGTGTGACTGTCCTTGGGTCAGCACCAGGTGTGACTGTCCTTGGGTCTGTAAGGACCAGGTGTAACTGTCCTTGGGTTAGGACCAGGTGTGACTGTACTGGGGTCTGTCAGGACCAAGTGTGACTGTACTTGGGTCTATAAGTAAAAGGTGTGACTATCCTTAGGTCTGTCAGGACCAAGTGTGACTGTACTTGGGTCTATAAGGACCAGGTGCGACTGTACTTGGGTCAGGACCAGGTGTGACTGTCCTTGGGTCTGTCAGGACCAAGTGTGACTGTCCTTGGGTCAGGACCAGGTGTGACTGTCCTTAGGGCAGGACCACGTGTGACTGTCCTTGGGCGTATAAGGACCAGGTGTGACTATCCTTGGGTCTGTAAGGACTAGGTGTGACCGTCCTTGGGTCAGGACCAGGTGTGACTGTCCTTAGGGCAGGACCACGTGTGACTGTCCTTGGGCGTATAAGGACCAGGTGTGACTATCCTTGGGTCTGTAAGGACTAGGTGTGACCGTCCTTGGGTCAGGACCAGGTGTGACTGTCCTTAGGGCAGGACCACGTGTGACTGTCCTTGGGCGTATAAGGACCAGGTGTGACTATCCTTGGGTCTGTAAGGACTAGGTGTGACCGTCCTTGGGTCAGGACCAGGTGTGACTGTCCTTAGGGCAGGACCACGTGTGACTGTCCTTGGGCGTATAAGGACCAGGTGTGACTATCCTTGGGTCTGTAAGGACTAGGTGTGACCGTCCTTGGGTCAGGACCAGGTGTGACTGTCCTTAGGGCAGGACCACGTGTGACTGTCCTTGGGCGTATAAGGACCAGGTGTGACTATCCTTGGGTCTGTAAGGACTAGGTGTGACCGTCCTTGGGTCAGGACCAGGTGTGACTGTCCGTAGGTCAGGACCAAGTGTGACTGTCCTTGGGTGTATAAGGACCAGGTGTGACTATCCTTGGGTCTGTAAGGACCAGGTGTGACCGTCCTTGGGTAAGGACCAGGTGTGACCGTCCTTGGTTCAGGACCAGGTCTGACTGTCCTTAGGTCTGTCAGGACCAGGTGTGACTGTCCTTGGTTCAGGACCAGGTCTGACTGTCCTTAGGTCTGTAAGGACCAGGTATGACTGTCCTTGGGTCTGTCAGGACCAGGTGTGTCTGGTGTTGGGTCTATAAGGAACAGGTGTGACTGTCCTTAGGTCTGTCAGGACCAGGTGTGACCGTCCTTGGTTCAGGACCATGTATGTCTGGTGTTGGGTCTATAAGGAACAGGTGTGACCATCCTTGGTTCAGGACCAGGTGTGACTGTCCTTAGGTCTTTCAGGACCAGGTGTGACAGTCCTTGGGTCAGGACCAGGTGTGACCGTCCTTGGGTCAGGACCAGGTGTGACCGTTCTTGGTTCAGGACCAGGTCTGACTGTCCTTAGGTCTGTCAGGACCAGGTGTGACCGTCCTTGGGTCAGGACCAGGTGTAACTGTTAATCATGTCGAGTTTTCCTCATGTCCATTTCTGATCTGGTTCAGAATACCAGACCTGTGACAAACCTTTAGTCCAGGTCCAGTTTCCTACCTGCACATGATCTCATGTGTCAGCAGAACTCGGCACATCTCTGGATTCTTGTCCTGACCTTCATAGATGATTGCCTGAAACACACACACAGGTGTAGTGAGCCTAGGGATTAGGGTTCCTGGACTCTGACCTGCTGCAGGTCATGTGATAAATCTCCCGGGTAACGATGTGTCTCCCCCTTCGTTCTCACAGCAGAAACAACTCAATTAAAGCTGCGTTTCAATTGTCTCAATTATGAGTGATTATTAACCAATAGCCTGAGAGAGGGAGTGTGTGAAGTGAGCAGGGCAAACATTTGATCCTCTGAATGTTTCATTACAGCTGCAGCCTGCAGATATTCATATTAAACAGCTGGAACCAAATGCATGAAAAGCCTTCTTCACAAAGAACGGCAAATGACGCCTGACGGGCACGCTCGTTAAAACCTCACTAATTGAATGACTCGTTAGATTTAAATGCTTCAACTGTTGCTTGATTCTATTAGTGTTACTGTGAACAACAGAGAGAACAGACTGAGACAGAGAGAGACTGCTGACTGGACTGTTTTTATCAAAGTGGAAATGTCTGCAGTCCTGTCAGCACCCCCTTCAGGACGCAGCATTCATTACAAACAACATCCTGATCATTTCTCTGCTTTCAGAGGAGCTAAACATGTAAAGTTTGTCCTGAGGGAGGTGCTACAGGAAACATCATAGGGACATTAATTGAAAATGAAATGGTTTATCATCTGGAGAGCAGGACAAAGATCAGGAAGTGTTCAGGAAGCATCTCAGAGAAGGACATTAGTCAGAAATTCACTTGTTTGGTTCTACTGTCAGAACTATAGGAATTAAATCATTTTATCAACTTTGTCATCACTTTTTAAAGTGATTCCTCTCTGTGCTAACGTCTCAGCACATAATTCCTTCTTTGTGTCTGAGAGAGTGTTAAAACAGTGATGTCTTATTCTGCTCAGCAGTCGTCCTTCTGCTGAAGGTCAAGGCTGAAGCTTGAACAACTCTGGAAACACTTCATAACAAAACCCCACAGTCTGTGTTAACAGGTACTAATCAGGTGTGAATGGACATGTTATTGGACATTATTGGAAATGTTACTGGACATGATATTGGACATGTTATTGGACATGTTGGGCATATTATTGGACATTTTGGACATATTGTTGGACATATCATTGGACACACTGATGGATATATTCAGTTTGGACATATTGGATATATTGTTGGACATATTGTTGAACATATTATTGGACACCTCAGTGAGACAGATGAACTGGTTTAGCTGCTAACCATCATGTAACCAAGCTGTTTGTTAAACAGTCCAGCAGTGACACTGAGTTGTGAAGTTTCAGGTGCAGGTGAGAAATGAAATCTGGTCCAGTTTGATCCAGTTTGATCCAGTTTCAGTAACAGATCTGAGTGTTTAAGGTTTATCAGTATATATCAGTTATAATAGTCTGACTTTTATATTTAATGTGTAACAATGTGTGAACAGACAGTTGACATGTTCACGTCCATGAAGCTGATTTCACAGCTGACAGTCAGCGTCTGTTTGTCGAGGAGGTGAAACTGAAACAACCTGATCTGTTGTTCAGATGATGAAGAGACGAGAGTTTAACAGATGGTTCGAGCTTCACTCCGCCTGCGATCACAGACACTCAGTAACGTCTGATTTATTATCTGTGGTGTCGCACGCCCAGGAGAGAGAGAGCAAGCGTTGTGTTAAGTGTTGGCTGCTGGAACAAGCAGCAGGAGTCACTCAGATGTGTTTGTGTCTGCAGTCGACTCTGTAACAACAGATTTATTCACAGTAACACAGTCTGACTGCTCACATCTCACTGTACAGATGAAATCAGCCGTAGGAGACACGGCTCATCATCTCTTGGTTTATTCTGGTGTTTCCTGAAAACACACTGATCCACAAAGTCATTCACTGATGAAACCTGAACATTTACTAATGGCACACATACATATATATATATCATTAAGATTTCAAACAAATTCAGCAACTCCAAATAAACTGCACTATTGTGAACATGATGTTCACCTGTTATTCACCTTTTCTTTACAGCTCTAATAACAATTCACCCACTAGTATTTACTGTGCTAATTAAACTGTTTCACAGTAAGGAGGAAATGAACCAGACGTGGAGCTGGAGTCAGTGACATCATTACATCTCCCAAATTGAAAAGGTCAGAGAGACTGAGGGTTCCTATTGGCTGTTGTACAGATGACCGTATGTGGACATGTGTCAGCATGAGTGGAGCATTTCAGAAAACCTGCTATTCTTCACCTGGACAGGTAACAGGCTGCTACCTTTATGTTCCTGTAGTATCTGAATTTGTGGTAGTGGTCGGTTGTGTAGGTAGATTAACATGAGCAGCTGTGTTGAACGTCGCTAATAGTTTGACTTTAAGATTGTGGCTGTGATGAACACTGCAGACTGTAGGAGGCACCAGCAGGAGTTCATTCATCTGCTGAATTAATTGATTAACTTGACTCTCGTAAATGGACTGGAGTTATGTTTGTGTTTCTGCTCAGTTTGGGTTCATATTTCTATGAGACATGTGAAGGTCAATGAAGAGGAGGAAGAGGAGAAGTCTGTCAGATCAGAAAAACAAAAATGTTTCAGGTGTAAAAGTTGGCCTGAAGCTTCATCTGACAGCTCAAACTGCGGGGGCGAAAACATGCTCTTATTTTGAAATCAATGTCTCTCTGGTCATTAATGTCATTGAATTGGTTGACTGATTGACCATTGATCTGGTGATGATCATTATGATTTGACTTTTGATTAGTCAAGTTGAATTAGTTTTTCTCTCATCAGCTTGATTTGTTTATTTCACTTGCTGATAATCAATAATCAGTACCTTACCTGTTTGGTCATGGAGTCGATCAGTCGGACGTACAGATCCTGCTCCGTTCTTACTCCTGAACACACACACTCATTAATATTACTACATAATATTATTATTGTTTGAACGGTCAGAATTTTTATTTACAGTTATTTAGTTTAAGAACAGCTAAAGACTTCATGAGAAAACCGATGTGGGCTGTGCTGTGTGGTAAAACAAGCGTACCCACCATTACTGTAGAGCAGCTGCAGTTTGTAATGAATCCCGTTGTTGGTTTTCTCTCCCGTTGGTTCCTGGACACAAAAACACAAATCAAACTGAAACTGAAGTAGAAACAAAAGGAACTTCACTTCCATGGGTGTGTTTGGTTTGTGTGTCAGGTCCACCCTCCCTCTCTGTTTCTCACCTTCTCTTTTTCCACGAAGTCCACATAGGCGGTGCGTTCGATCTCGACCGGCTGACCCTGGCGGTCGTACAATGCCAACACAAAGTGGAAGAAGTTGGACTTCCTCAGATTGGAGGGTGGCTGCTTCTCAAAGTGAGCACGAGCTAACCCCACCCCGCTGAGAGACAGACAGACAGTGGGTAAGTCATGTGAGGAGACAAACCAAACAAACACAGCAGAGTCTTAGTGATGATGTTTGAGGGTTTAATGACCTGATGACATCATGTCTTAAAATCCAACTGTTTCTAAAGAGACATTATTAAACTCAACATAAATGGTGTAAATGACAAATGACGTAAATGACAAATTATACAAATGATGTCAATTATGTAAATAACATAAATGACAGTACAGAGGCTTTAAAATATTAAGTAAAAATGATCATTTATAGAAAGTAACTGAAAAATCAGTTGTGAAAAAAGTTTTTTTTTTTTACACGGGTGTGTTCAGACTGATCACAGTGAATTTCAGAGGCACGGTGACTCCAGATAAAGTTGGTGCTGAGAGATGAGTGATGCAGATTCACTGTGGACGAATTGAGCTGAAGATGCATCAAAGCAAACGAGTTGACCCGATGAACGTAGATAAACAAAATGAAAACACTTTCAGTTTTTGTCGGGTCCAAATCATCTTGGTTCAAGCTTTTTAGGGGTTTGTGTTACTGTCTGACCCCGCCCACGTTACAACATTTATACCTATTATTTTTTTCTTTAATCTGAAACAGTTGGACGAATCATGAACTCTGATTGACATCCTGCCTGTGACCTCTGAACATGATCCGGCTACATTTTGTCTTTGTCAAGAAGAGTAAGTGAGAAAACACAAACACAGAGTTTCTCAGACCAAGCTGAGCCTCGAGTCTGTCTCTGTAAAAAAAGATTTTCTTTCTTCGTTTCAATCCAAGTTTTTTTCCCCTGATTTCTGAACCAGAAGACCTGGAGATACAAGGTTTCTTCGTGTTGTGAACAATTTCAAAGTTCAGGTGAAATAAGAAAATGTTCATTTAGTGATTTTATGTTTTAGTGATTTTGTTCTGATTCAAAAATGGAATAACTCCATGCGAAGAATTTAAAAGCCTCCATGTGATCTGAGGCTTAAATCAAATGCTCCTCAGAGGAATAATTCAGCGACGCCGGTTCAACATAAAAAATCCCATCAAACATGTCAACCAATCAGTTTAAATTTTTTTTAAAAAAAGCATCAAATAATAATAATAAAGTGTTTCTTTAAACAAAAAGAAATGGAGACAAAATAAAACAAACTAATGATAAATGATCCAGGGTGAAAAATGTCATCATATATGATCAGTAAAAAAATCAATCAAGTGTTGCCTTTAAACTGTCAGACATGTAAAACATCATTTCATCACAACACAAATCTTAATTCAAGACAATAATTCAGTGAAGTGAGGAAAGTCCGAACTGAAAGATTCATATAAATATGAAGCTCTTCAGTCAGATGTGACACGGAGCTTCGGGCTTTAACCTCCACATGAATGAATCATGTTAACAGCAGCATCTTGAGACTGCAGGGAATATTTCACTAAACAACAGAGACAATAAAAATCACTTTAAATTCACAGCAAACACTGGATCACATCTTCATGTCAGGATTTATAAATATTCATATTAAAGAAGTCAAACTGCTGCTTTGACCCGACTGTAAACTTGCTCCTTCATTAACAAACACAATTTGTCTTTGTGTTTTTAGATTTGTTGAATTTTAACAAAAGAAAAAGTAAGGTGCTTCCAGTCGACACCGAGATGTCCTCAAGTTAAAAATATTAAGAGAGGAGTTTAAATAAAAGTGAATTCATGTTCATAAAGACGAGTCTCAGCTGAAGATTCATGATGATTTTATTGTACAGTATATTAAAATGGATCTTTATGATCTTACTCATGCTGAAATGTCTCATCCACTTTCGTAACATGCCTGAATTCATGTCACTGCACACTTTAACATTTTTTATAATTTTACACATGATAAAATATTAAAAGTCAAGTTTCATAAATGTCTCAGCAGAGACAGTTTCTAATGATCACAACTGTTTTTACTGAGTCTCACTTCACACTCACGTTCTCCGTCACCTTCACTGAAGAGAATCTAAATTCATTGGAGCTTTACCTTACACGCATATTAACCTCATTAATTATTTCATTTACATCCATTTAAAATATAATGTGGATTTTATTTATTCTGCTCATTTAATGTATTTGTGTTATTCAATATTAAAATCAGCTTCACCCTCTCACACACTGTTAAACACTGTTTCTCACAGTGTCAGTGGAATTTAATTAATTTGAATTTACTGTAAATAATGTTTTTTATTTTATTTTATTCAGCTTTTAGGATTAAAACCTGAGCTTCATCACTTCACTCATGTGAAAACTGAGACCTTCCTGGTGTTAACCAACAAACTGCTCTGAACATCTGCAGGACTGTGTTTTAAGTCACCTTTAATTAGAAGAATAAAAATCTGTTTGACACTGAAGCATCTACATGATGAGAACATTGAAGTTTCAGTCTCACTCTGAGCTGCAGTTTGAACTTTCAATTAAAGCAGTTTTAATTTTTATTTGTGAGAAATATGAGAATTCAGATGAATGTTTCTGCTGAAGAATCAAATTCTGACATTAATAACAGAAGAATTATTAGAGTACCTGGCATCTGCTCTTTGTTATTTTATTTATTATATGTTAAATGTAATCTGACGTCTGGAATAAATTCACTTCATAAACTGATTTTTTTTTCTGCTGAAATGAATGAAAAATTTTCTCTGAACACATTTTTGACTAATTCTTCTCCTAAATTATGTTTGACCTTCGACCTCAGAAACATCTGAAAATATTGTCTTGTAAAAACTTTAATATTAGAAACATCACTTTTCTTTTATTCTCGTCTGAACTAGTTTTCAGCTGAACACTTAAAACCTTTAACAAATATTAGGAATTAAATTTGATATTTTTAATTAGACAAATTTAGATTGTGACATTTAAATGTTGGATAAAAAACAAAAGAAATATCCTGAACTCACTGATTAAATAAATGTTCCTGATTTTACTCTGAGAACAAATTTAAATCTCTCTCCATCTCATCTAAATGTTCCTGCTGACTTACTGTTTGTCTATTGGGACTACAGCTCCCAGAATCCCTCTGGGGCAGCGGTGAGTTTACCTCTGAGCGGCTGTGTTGGCATCCACCACGCCGGCCGAGTGCATCCAGGAGCGAACAGCCAGCGGCTCCTCCTTCATGCTGGCTGTGGCCCCGCGGGGCAGATTGTCCTGGATCCCGAACATCTCCGGGGCCCCAACTCTCTGACCGTCACCGCCGCCGCTGCCGGACGACCACGAAAACAATGCAACACGAGGAAAAACAGGAAGAAGAAAAGTCCAGCAGAAAAAAAAAACCTCAGCTCTGCCGGACAGACGAAAGCTTGCTCTTCTGGTCGGTCAACAATTTCGTCACGAACATTAAACCTCGAAGTCAGAAACCAATCGGCAAGGAGAGAAGAAGACAGAGGGAAGGAGAAGAAGGAGAAGAAGGAGAAGAAGAAGTTGAGCAGGACTTTTATTATTCTGCTGAACTTTGTCTCTGTTAGTCAGATTTAATTAAACTTTTACTCTGGACAGAAAAAATCCTCCGAGTTTTTAGGGATATTTTAAAAATTCTCAGTCTCGGCCGTCATGTTGAAACCCGGCGTGAAAGAAAGGAGGAAGAGGAGGAGAAAAAAAGGAAAAGAGAAATAAAATCCTCAGAGGACGAGAAAACGGGGGGAAACGAGAGCTGGGTCCGGACAGCGAATCGAACGCAAGCAAAGTGTCTTTTTTCTTTTCCCCAAAGAGAGGAGAGGAGGAGAGAGGAGAGGAGGAGAGAGGAGAGGAGAGAGGAGGAGAAGCAGGCTGATGATGGAGGGATGAGGAGCGGAGGAGAAACTCTCAGCCCTGCGGCCCCACAGGACTGGACGCCAAAACCCAAAAACCCCACGGGTCTTCCTCCAAGCCGCTGACGACATCACAGCGGGGGGCGGGGCCTTACCATACAAGGCAAGGAGAGGAGAAGTGAGAGAGAGAGAGTGTGTGTGTGTGTGTGAGGTAGAGAGAGAGAGAGAGAGAGGGGAGGAGGTGGGAAGGCGGGAGCTCGAACCAACCAACCAGAGAGAGAGAGAGAGAGAGAGAGAGAGAGAGAGAGAGAGAGGCCTTGATCGCCTGGTGCAGTCATTCCCTCTCTCTCTCCAGTAACGTGTAGAATCTGAACTATTTTGGTTTAGACTTCGACCACAACAGTATGGTGGGAAGCCAGTGAGGGATCTGGTCCTGTTGGTTGCAGTAGAGTCCTGATCCCTGTTCAAACAGATGTGAGACAGATGTGAGTCTCTGAACTGAGCCTCAGTCGAACACTGAAAACCTCCCTTCATAGTAATTGATCCGGATTTGAAGTATGAGATTGTTTGAGCCAAGATCCAGATCCAGATCCAGATCCCTGTGGTCAGACCCTGCTCTGACTGGACGAACAGATGAGGTCTCATTATGGTATTTTGGAAGATGGTGCAGGACACCTTGTCCAATTTTCAGAGCCGAGACAGGAAGTCCAGACACCAAAGATCAGGGTTCAACCCTTATCTCCGACCATGGTATACCTCAACCTTTACCAGACCTCAGCCAAACCTGAACCAGACCTGAGCCAGACCTGAACCACAATGAGCCAGGCCTGAGCCAGACCTGCACCACATCTGAGCCACACCTCTGCCAGACTAGAACCGGACCTCCAACAGACCTCCAACAGACCTCCGCCAGACCACAACCACAATGAGCCAAACCTGAACCACACCTATGCCACACCTCTGCCAGACTTCATCCAGACCTGCACCGGACCTGAACCAGAGCTCTGCCAGACCTCTGACAGACTTGAGTCATACCTGAACCAGACTTGTGTGCTGGTTTCCTTTAAGCACAGTGATCTGGTCGGTGTGTGTGCAGGTAGAAATGTGACAGAGAGAATGTGTGTTTTCTAAAGCATGATCAGGAAAACATAACTGCTCATCATCATCATCATCATCTTCACCATCTTCATCATGTTCATCTCAATCAGTGTTTTCTCATGCTTTCAGACAGGAAGTGAGACAGGCTTTTCCAGAGTAACAGCGCTCCAGTCTTCTGGGGACGAAGGCCTCCGAGGCTCCGAGGGGTGGACCGAGTCCGGACTGAAAAACAACGAGAGGAGGAAGGAAAAGAGAGAGAAGAGAGAAGGAGAGGAATCAGTTTAAACTGAGGAGGGAAAGAAAAGGAAGAAATGACAAGAAGAGAGAGAAAAGCTTTATTGAGGAGACGTAGGAGAAGAGGAGGAGAGAGGAAAAGAGAAAGGTAAATTTAATATGATGATGAAGAGGAAAAAGAAAGACAGGAAGAAAAGACGAGAGCAGCATATGGATGTCGAGGTAAAGAAAAAGCAAGAAGTGAAGAAGAAGAGTTGGAGAAGAAGAGAACAAAAGAAGAGAGAATGGAGGATTTTTCTTTGAGAAGAAAACAATAAGGAAAAAGAAAATAGCAAAAAGGAGGAGGAGAAGAAAAACCATGAAAATAAGAAGTGATTAAGAAAAAGAGGAGGAGGAAGAGGAGGTACGTCTGGTGAGTGAATGTCTTCAAGACTTTCATTCTCATTTTTCATTTTTAACCTTCATAGCTTCAAGGTATCGCTGATCAATACACAACCTGCTCAGATTATTATAACAATATCAATAATAATAATAATAATAATAAAATAATACCTATAATATTATTATTATTATTATTATTATAATGATAGTGACAGTGTTTTTGCTGTTTCCTTTTTTGTCAGTAAAAAAATTTGATCATTCACTTTAAATGGACAAATAATTGAGCTTTCTGCGGTGGGGGGTTGGGGTTGGGGGGACAAGGAGGAGGAGGAGGAGGAGGTGGTGGAGGTGGAGATGGCAATCTGGTTTCCAAATGAGGCTTCGTTCTTTCGGGACAAATCCCCGACCAGCAGAAGGCGTGGGGGGGGGGGGGGGGGGGGTCCAGTCATGAGCACAGCGATCCTCTCGTCCTTCTCCTCTTACATTGAAGCTGCTGTTTTTATTTCATTCTAACATTTATTTGAATTTCATTTTTCTTTTTTTAACCTAAAACATTTTTATTTTTCTTTATATATTTTTATTCTATGTATTTATCATATTTCATGTTTTTATAGTTTGTGTTTTTTACATTTCACGTTTTTATATTTCATCCTATTATATAAATTTAAATCCTGTGTTAATATAAAACATCTATCCACCATGTTGTGCTAATGGATGTTGCTATATTTAAATGTATATATAGAACATACATATTTGTTACTGACACAGCTGAGTCACCGATAGTGAAAGGGAATGACAAGCACAAGGACAAAAGAAGAAAGAAATAGAAATCTGTCTCCTCCTCTACTGATGTTCTTTATGAAATCAACAGTAATTTAAATAAACATGAAGAACAGACAGACACCAGAAGAAGAAGAAGTGGGTCAGTCTGTTGTCAGGTGTAAAACCTGTCAGGTGAAGAACAGAACACGGAGCAGGAGATTCTCAGACAAACTGAATATTAATCAATTATATTAATGAAATATTAGATGTAATAAACTGAATCACACAAACTGAATTGAGAGCGGTTTCTAGGTGAAACTGTGTTTTTATTTAAATGTCTGCAGCTGCTTTTCATCTACATGAAGAGAAACTCACTTACATTCAGCTGCTTCTTTAAAACTCCATCCATCAGTGGCAGGTGAGCGACGTTATGAGATGGACGTGATGAATTATCCTCAGACATTATTTTTTATTATCTGTCTTTTACCTGGTTTAGTTTTTCCTCCGTTTCTCTCTGAGGTTCTGTGTGGGCCGACGAGGAGGACGGAGGAAAGATTAAATTTACATCTGATTCCCACCTGAGACGAGTTTCACCTGAGGCTAAAACATTTAGTCTGATTAGAATTCAGAAGCTTTTAGTTGAACAAAGTTTTTATCAGTTGCACAAAAATCTGAAAAAAATTATCTCACCATAAAGATAAATTTATCTCGTTACAAATGATGAAATAATAATATGTTAAAATAATTACATGATAATTTACTTTTTATATTTCCGTATTTTACAATTTATTTATTACATTATATTTATTTTATATTACAATCAGAAAACCACCAGTTTTTATCTGGATGAGTGAAACTAATGAATTTAATTAATGTTGTTTTATTTGTTAACCTGTGAATTAATAGAGGACAGATGAAGAAAAAATCTAATCTAATTCTGCTCAAATAAAATCAGTGATTATTGGAAACAACTGATTCATGTTTAATCATTTTAGTTGATTTATTCTTTCTGATTTACAGAGTCGACAACGACAGCGCTGCAGAGAGTGTGTGTAACACCCTCCTCCTCTCTATTGTGTGTGAAGTGTGTCCTTTTGTGTGTGTGTGTGTGTGTGTGTGTGTGAATGTCTTGCGCTCACACACACACACACACACACACACACAAACACACACACATTTGCATTTAAATAGCGACATCAACCGGCGTTCGTGGCGGCACAGCAGCGGGTTTCCCAGATGTCACGGCAAAGTCAGATGGGCCAGCTGTCACACACACACACACACACACACACACACACACCTCACACAGCACACCAAGACACACACACACACACACACACACACACACACACACACACACACACACACAGCTGACTCGGTAAAAAACATTCAGTCAGTTTAAACTACAGCAACATTTAAAGAGACAAAACACACAGTGTGTTATATTGTGTGTGTGTGTGTGTGTGTGTGTGTGTGTGTGTGTGTGTGTGTTACAGATCCTGTATGTGAATAAAAACTGTGAAACTGGTGTCAAACCTTTATTACATCATCACACCAACGATCACTGACAATCGATTAAACGGCAGATACATGACATGATGTTTGTGATGTGTTCTGTCCATGACCTGTACTCATCATCGTCATCCTCATCATCCTCATCATCATCTTCATCATCACCATCATCATCCACATCATCATCGTCATCCTCATCATCATCCTCATCATCACCATCATCATCCTCATCCTCACATCACCATCATCATGCTCATCATCATCCTCATCATCACCATCATCATCCTCATCCTCATCATCACCATCCTCATCATCATCCTCATCATCCTCATCATTCTCATCATTCTCATCATCCTCATCCTCATCATCATCCTCTTCATCCACATCATTCTCATCATCATCATCATCACCCTCATCCTCATCCTCATC